CTGTAAACGTCCGCGATCCTACTGCGTAGGACAAAGTCTTGTTGCCGTATGTGAGATTCGAACCAAGGATATCTCGGTCAGTGACGGACTCTCATAATCACCTGGGCATAATCAATCTACCGATTGTAAAAAATACTATTTGTTCAGATAATTTCGAATTTTTCCGCTCCTGCATGCCGTTCCCTATTTTTCATGGCAAAGGCTATCGGAAATATGTAATTAATCCTCCACTGGACGCGATTAACCACCTATTACCGGCACCGAATAACCCTGCGCTCCACCGACGTCGACATCACTCTCGAACGCAAATGAGATAATCAATGAAATTCTGATGCGCAGTGCTTGAAGTCTAGAACTTACAACCGGAGGTTTGAAGTTAATGAGAGGCCCTGATCTTCTCGCAAAAATAATAGCGTTTCTCAGTAGGCATAACAGAATTGAGCAAAAAACATATTGTAAAGGCCGTAGGAAACGATGGTGACTCAAAGATTAAATGGAAGTGGCAGACAGTGACGGTCACCATATCAAACGGAACAAAACGAAACAACGAAAACGAACTCATTATAGCAGTTTTATGACCCAGACGATATGCACACCAACGAAAAGAATATGGACGGAGATGAAGTCAGGACTTACACCCTCGAAATACTGACGAATTTAAATTCTATGTGATCCGTTCGCACAAAATAAACAAACAGTCAATACGTCTTAGGAAACCCTTGAAAAGCAGTCGTAAAGCATCACAACAAAAAAGAACTTAAAAACGCACCATATAAACGCCCATCAATCTGGGATACCGAAGTAGGGGGTCCCGTGCTGGTCATAACCAAACCAGTCATGTGCGACAGTAGAGCAAAGGCGAAAAGGTGCTCATAACAGATGTGCGTGACAGGCAAAGCACAATCGACCCAGTAACGGGCGCGTCGAAAATTATGTTTACGCCCTTGTTGCGCCCTGCTGCTGAACGTCGCGACGAGCCAATGCATCGTTAGGCCTCTTCGGAGCGCCAAATGACCCACACCGTGCCAACTATGGAGACTACTCGTCCCTCAGTAGGTCTTGTCAGTTCACCGAGGAAGTTCAGCATGCGGACAAACACCACATCTTTACCACGGGGCAACTCGTTCTCGCTCATTCGCGTCGTCTCGATCCCGAAAGACTTTGGATAGCCAAGAACAAATTTAGGCATATGATGAATTTGGGAATTATTCGTCCTTCCTCCAGTCCGTGGGTTTATCCACTCGGCATTGTGTCCAGGAAACCGGCCGATGATTGGAGACAGTGTGACGACTATCGCGCCTTAACAGAACTACCGTTTCAGATCGATATCCCTTTCCTCAAATCCATGACTTTTCTCACATACTGGCAGAAAAAAATTTTCAAGTTAGATCTAATGAGAGTGTACCACCAGATACCGGTCGCGGAACAGGACATCCCCAGGACCGCCATTACGACGCCCTTCGGCCCGTTCAAATTCTTTTGTGTGCATTTTGGTTTGCGCAGCGCAGCCCAAGCATTGCAGCATTTCATCGATCAGATCTTGGAGGCTCTGTCATTTACGTCTGTCTACATCGATGACGTACTCGCCGCAAGCTATTTGGCAAAGGAACATGCCCCACACTTGCGCTAAATACTTGATCGTCTCTAGCAATATTTTTGCAATTAAACATCGACAAACTTCTCTTTGGCGTCACTTTTGTCGATTTCCTTGGCCGCCACTTCAACCGGCGTGGAGTCCCACTGCCTCCAGAGACGGTACAGAGCATCGTATCTTTTCCTGCTCCCAGGGCACTTCCTCAGCTGCTGCGTTTGCCAGGTCTCATCAATTACTATCAACGGTTCATCCGCAGATGTGAGAAAACACTAGCTCTCTGGACTGATCTTCTGAAGTCTAGGATAAAGTCGGTGGGACATTCACCAGCAGCTCACCCAGCCTTTGAGGCAGCCAAGAAAGCCCTGGAAGATGCCCTTATGCTTCACTATCTCCATCCCGACACCCGCACACAGCTAATTCTAACCACTGACACTTTCAACAGTGCTGTCGGCGCAGTCCTGCATCAAAATGTGAATAACCAGTTGCGGCCATTGTCTTTCTTTTCACGGAATCCACGACCGGCGCAGATTCGCTCCAGCACTTTCTCTCACGATCATCTTGCCATCTACTTGGCCATCCGTCA